CTCCTCATTTTGACACATACTCATTAATTCTCATTCCAAGAAACCGGAAGACAAGACTAGCAGACGTCAAATCTTCCCTTTTACTTTTTTCATTTCAGTTACCCAAGCTACACATGCGGCGAGACTTACAAAGTGTACAACCATAAAGAGCAATTGTGTGACTATGACGTGATTTTTGACATTTCGAGCCATGATACCCGCAACGATTATGTAACAGAAAATCGGTCACGGGGATTTCAGCATCAGCGGATTTCAGCATCAGCCGTGACATTAATTAATATAGATCGGTTTAAATTAACTTTACAGTATGTGACTGCCTTTATTATTATAAATTTTTTAAAGTGTTTCTACAGCATGTGCTGTTTATATTTACGCATTATATGGTATTATCAATATCATCACTCACAGACGCGCTCCAAAAATAGATGTTGCTACAGCATGTGACTGTTTATAATTACGCTTATTATATCACCTCTCGATATTTGACAATATAACACATGACTTGTCTTCTCCAAAATACAATGTTATCTAAAGTATAACAAACAATCCATCGACCAACAGACAACCATTCCATATTGCGTTATTGCGTACATACGACCGACCGAACTTTGACACAGCAACGACGCGGATTTTATCGACCATATACTCAAACCATTGTACATATATCGCTACAACAAACCTCCCCTCTTCCAACGTGCAACTACAACGTTATCAGCTTTCGCCGCATTCCGTATTACGACACATGCGACGGTTTGGATAACTCACAACCAACTTTTTTACTATTACCCTCCTCGATCGCCAATCACAACTTTTACCTCCTCTGTTTAAAATAATTTTTGCGGAACTCTGGATTTACTTTAGACAAAGTAAGGATTTTTCACCGAGTACTTGTTGAGTGGTTGTTGTATCCCAAGTTACGCTGCCAGTAGGTGAGAGATATCTGAATCGAAAGCGCATCGTGGCCACAGTATTCGTGGTATTTGTGTATCATACGTACTTAATGTATATAATATCTGACGTTACGCTGCCAGAAGGCGTTGTCTTTACTGAATCTGCTAATGTCGAAATGGCTGTGGTCTAACTCACCACTAGGCGGGTTCGCTGGATGGTGAATAGGATATAACTTTTGCTGGTGCTTCAAGTTGAGCCGTTAGAAGTCCAATTCAGAGGATTACAATAGCGAATAATATTGTCTCTAATATTTTTTGGTATCAATTTTTGTACGTATGGGCTCTCACAAATTATCCTTCGTCCAGTTGCCGAAATTGTTCAACGAAGTTAACTCTTGATTTTGTGCTACGCCCCATTTTGCGCCAGACGTATATATCTCTGAAGAATATGCTCCAAGATGGACTCTGGTACTTCAACAAAATTATCGCCGTCAAACAGTATACTGGATTTTTACATATAATCCTGATGCAAGTATTCCGTAAAGGAATAAAAAATTCGTGGAGCCAGATTTTCTTGAGAATTTTAACCGCATTATTGTTCAAGAATTCATCTTTTTTCTCTATAATGTACTGCTGTACGTCATTTAATAGTTCGAACAATTCCAACTCGTCCGTAGCAATTAATACATCAAAAATAACAGATGCACGTTGCAAGGCAAAATCGATTTGACACCGCGAGTCTGATTATCATGTATAAACACACAGAACAGATTATCAAGTTTTGTGAAAACCAGAGAAAGCAGTTCATCGGTTAATACAATCAAACGGTTTTCAGCAATCAATTATGCGTTCTGTACACTATTATTTGCTTGATACGTTTTAACAGTCGAGCTACTGAATAAAATACGCGAACGCAAGTCTAGTTCATCAAACTTGTAAATGAATCTCCATTCTTCACACATACCTAAAGAATTTTTCCAATTATCCTTATGGCGCATCGGCAAATTCGAGTTTATTGTTTCTAAGGATTCTCTCGAACTTTATGTTGCATAAGACAACACCTTTCTCTTACGTTATCTTTACTAAACCGTGTTTCTCAACTCCGTCCATCATTAATCATTCTAAACATTCTGTACAACGTTGTGTGATGGGATTCAATAAATTAAACCTTATTTGGGATGGACTCGTGTATAATTTCTTCGCCGTCTCAGTTACACATGCTAAGTCCCACCCCCAAAATCCTTTGGGCGTAAACGTATGCAGTCCGAGCTTTTGTATTTCACTCATAATTGTTTTCATTTTACAAGGACACGCACAAATACACCTCTCTCATAACTCACTCGCGCTTCATAGTTAAAAACTCTGTTGTACTAAATATGACTGGTAGGCATGTCTTGTCATAGTTCCTGATTTTGACATGATATATTAATCAATATCCCAATACTGCGGAATCAGGAAAGACCTACAATATCGTCTACAAAAGCGATACCCCCGACGAGATTATTAACAAACATATTGAACATTTAGAGAAAAATGGTAGAGTATGGAAAGAGAAACAGTGGCATATCTTTTTTGACAAACACACTTGCAGACATATATATATGTGCGTGGTGTTGGCACTGACACAGTACAAACATAAACGTTTACTTGTTTTATTTTCTACTATACAGGCAGTGAAGTCCACAAATTAACCCTTTATAAAGGTCTTATTGTAAAAGTCAAGGAAGACCACGTTATTAGTACGTAAATATGTTAACGTATCTTCACATGACAAACACTTCGTCAACTAATCACTATGCTTGACTATGCGTTTCGCAGGCTCTTACCAAACAATGGCGGACAGTCACATTGAAAGTATTGAAGAAGATCAAGTTGTTAGAACACAGCGATAAACATTGACGTAATTGCGTATAAGAAAATTATGTATATGAATATATTGTGAATCTTGTTACGTTATAAAATTGAATATTCTATCATTACCGTCATATTGATCACACTTCGTTGTTATCTACTGTCTTGTTGCTGCAATCGAACAGAATCTCCAAGTCCGTGTGCATTGAGCAGTCGAGTATGGAATTTCAATGTACTTTGTCATCACGATGTGGAGATGCCTATAAGAAAGCCTTTACCTTTTTTTAATAATAAAGATACTTTGCAAGTTATTATAGACGGGACGAAGGGTCACGCTTCGTGATCGCACTTATCTCACCAATAATAAAGGTTTGAGTGTCCAGAATGCATTATAACAGTTCGTTGGGGGTAGAACGCAACAAACCGGACCAAGCGAACATTCTGTTATGTAACATAAACTAATAGTATAGAGCTGTGCACCATAGTACTGGGGAATACCTCTTCACTTTAATAACATATGTTATTTCCACTTAGCTTAGGTTATGACGAGCCGGTGTCGGTCACGACACGTGTCAGATTTCTGTCATGTGATATATTGCATATCAGGTTGCAGTGGCTGGTTTTAATCGTCAGGCTACATAATATAAATAATAAAGTGGTGATTTCAAATATAAGACACTTGTAGAAAAAAACGAGTTGCTGATGCAATCAAAGTAAGTCACATGGTAAATAATAAAATCTTCTTCACAATAATTTTAGAATAGTGATACGAAAACGTTATGCGTTTTCCAAGACAGTTACACTAGTTAAATTACGATTATGCATTTGCGAGACAATAATCAGCACTTCCCCATCGCGAATCATGTTGTCGGTCGTTTGATAATAATATTCAGTTCTTTACGGATATGAAATAAACATTTTTTTGGAATCTAACTATTTCTTTCTATTACTATTGTCGTTAATGATATTTAATTAATTGATACAACCGGATAAGACAAAACCGCCTTCAGCTAAACGTCGACTAACGATTGTCTAGTTATCTGTTGAGCGAGAAAGCGAAGTCTTAATTAAAAAATTAAACAATAATAAAATTTTAATTATTTTAGAAACAAGTGACGGAAAAACTGATTAGTCAATATACCGAATCGAAGACCAGCCTATTTAATTTAGAATAAACAATTTCCCTTCGATTTCGTTGTAAATTATAGTTGCTAATAATTTACTACGGTTACCCTTATCCGGAAATGAGTACGAGAAGTACATCGTATAGGGAACGATAAAACGCGCATATAATTAATTAAAATTAGGTCACTTGTAGACGAAGCATTCAGTCGAAAAGACATCACTGTAATAAGGGCAATGATCCGTTGAGTCTAAATTTACCAAATATCTGGTCGCTACGTTAAAAAGTTAATTGGCTCTCCCAACCAATCAATTGCCGACTGTAACAGTATAAATATAAAGCAATGAAATAACTTTATTTCTTTATTTATGGTTTAGATTGAGCATTTTAACAACTTATGCAGTTTAGCAACATGTATTATTGAATCTTTTATCATCAGCAATATTAACTATAATACTAAGTTGACAAAACATGCCAAAGCAACTGTAATTCTTGTTTCATAGCTTTTATATTTGTTGATCGAGTTGCAAATCCGAAATCTACCAAGAAACATTGTTTCTTTTGATCGTTCCATGATATCAAAATATTTTGCTTGCGAATGTCATTATGTAGGATACCATGTTTGTGCACTGCCTTTAAAGCTGCCACAGCCAATTCTTTCTCTTCTCTTGATGGACTGACTGGATGATGGCCGACAATGAATGTTGTTCCAAGAACATAAAGCAGCCCACAAACTTTTCCATATGCAATGAGTCTCGGAATATATACTCCTTGAATGTCTTGCATTGTATGATAGGCTGCTATCTCATTTAAAAGTTCTGCCCAAGTCTTAGGGTGTTTTGATACATCACACATTTTCCAGGCAACTTCAATTTCTTGAAAATATCCCTTATGGACAACTCCTGAATGTCCACTGCCAACATATTCACAAAGGTTAAGATCTTCCATCTCCTCAAATTCAATTTCCATAGGGTAGTCTTTGTCAGAATGTTTTTGTTGAGTATAAGTAGTACCACTTCGACTTTGAGAGCTTCGTAAGTTGTATGTTGATTGCTTTTTCGCTGAACCTCCTGTTGATTGTGTATCACTTTGTCGCTTTGGCCTGGATGAAGGCAAAGGTGGTGGCATGGTGGTAATAGTTGATGATCTTGATTGACGTTTTTGCAAAAGCTGGTTGTGTTGATAATTTGTATGTGCAAGATGCTGGATAAAGGCATATCCTCTCAAAACTGTTGGATCAGTAGCATTCCTTGAAAAGGCCTCAGAGATAAGAAGATTACGTGTATTCTGAGGTGAGCATAGAAACCAAGTTTGTTCATATGTTGTTAATATTCCATATTCACAGTTATTCCCCATCATATAAGTATAGACCTGCTGAATAATATTGACATAACATCCCTGTCCATAGCTAGTTGCCAAATGTGTATCTTCACTCAGTGCCCATTTTGTTTTGACTTCAATTGGCATAAGAAAAACTTCTGGAGTATCATCATTTGAAAAGCAATAGCAACCAAAATCTGGGTCAAACTGGGTAATACTTCTATAGATGCCATCAAAACCTTCCTTTGGATTGCGTGAATGACCAAGAACATTTAATTGTTGAAAAATGGTATGGTCAAGTATCGAATGCAATCGACTTTCAGAAGTTACCACTGGTTGAGATTTATACCGTGGTTTAGCATACAACTTCCTAGTATTCTCGAAAGGATGTGAAATAGCTTGCTCACGAAATCCTGTCCATTTGCTAACTTTGGATGGTACTCGTGGACGTTGAAGTATAGTTGAGCCGCTGCTTCTTGGTTCATCAGTGTACATAACTGTGGGCGGCAATTGCTCAACATAATCAACAAATTCTTGTTCAGTTAATAAACTAGCGGTTGGTGGAACTCTAACAATAACATGAATGTTAGCATTGTCTGGTTGAGTAGGCCACAATGATCTAATCATTGTTAATTGCCGCATTCGATCATTATTATTAAGTGCAAGAGCCTGAAGATGGGCATCATTTGTTGCTGGAACACTGATTCTCCAGAGCACCAATGCGCCTGCATCAACATCCTGGAGACGATTTGGCACTTCCTGTTTGATCCTTTTTTTGAGTCCATAAACACTGTCATTTGCATTTAAATCAACTATGAAGAGGTTGTCCTCAGCCGGGGTGTCATCTTCGAACAGACAATTAAGTGTGATGGCAGACATATATTATATAGAGAATATTGACTGTGCGTTGGGGTGCACAGAAAGCGACGTGTCAATCACGTGATATAATCATGGAAAAGAAACATTTGCGTAGGCACAAAAAACTACCGATCACCGTGATACATTGTTAGAGTATTCTACTTCAACATGCGTGTCTCTTTTGTGGTAATTGCAGTCTTAATCTTGGGTATTCAACAGGCAGTAGCCTATACGATTGTTGTAAAAGCTGGTACAAAGGAGTGCTTCTATGAGGATTTACATAAGGATGATAGAATGACGTTAACTTACCAAGTGGGAGAAGGAGGGCATCTGGATATTGACTTTACGGTGAGTGAAATAGATTTCTGCCAGATTTATAAGTGCGGTGTTTGGAATATAAAATTCAGTGACATGGAGAAGAAGCATTCTATATAAAGAACGTTTAAATAGTAAATACACGTACATAATGCTCATAATGTCACCGTGCAAGTATCCAACATAAATCTCTAATCGTTTTCGTCTATCGCGTTATTAATAGATGACTGATCCAAATGACAAACAAATAATAAAAGAAGATAGACAATCGACTGGGACATACTCGGTGGGGACTCAGTTTGATGGCAGATATACTTATTGCTTTAGTAATGAGATGTCTAGCGTCACGGATAAAACTGTTAGCTTCAACGTTCATGGACTTGTATATATACCAGAAGATAGTTGTGAGTATAACTGTGCTGTGATTATGGTTGCTGACCCATACTGTACATATATGTAATTGCGAATTCTACGAATTCTTTTGAATAGCTCACACGGATCCAGTTGAAAAGGAAATTAGAGAGTTAGCCGATAATCTTGCCGCAATTAAAGACGAACAGGCTTATTTGGTTATAAGAGAAAAAACACATCGTAACAGTATGTATTAATTAATTACTCAATTTATTGACTTTTTCATGACGAGTACTGAATATTGATCACAATTTTTTTCTTTCAGCTGCTGAGAGTACTAATGACAGGGTCAAATGGTGGTCCCTATTCCAATTCGCCGTGCTGATATCAGTTTGCCTCTGGCAGGTGTTTTATCTTAAGAGTTTCTTTGAAGTCAAACGGGTTGTCTAGGGCAGTAAAACGAGACAGCTTGAATAAAATAAATTCGAAGATTGTTAACTTTGCAATTGACTTTACCATGGATCTGCCACATCAACGATTCCATCGGCAGCAGAAAAGGTTTAATATAAATGTGACTAGTACGTCAAGCTTACTAGAAGTTTTGTTAATAACACTATGTTTATGATAAAGAGCTGGAATATTTATTGAGACATATAACTCACAAGTCGTTTATTTAGTATTTTTACAGATTTTAATTGTTTTGTGTAGCCGAGTATGAGGACATAATTAACAATGCCATTCTACATTTTCATGTTACGGGCTGCTGAAGTCACAACTGTTAATATAGTTTCGACGAGATATTACTTGAAGCATTTACAGAACGGAATATAGATGAATATATAATGAAGTTACAACAATAGGATCATATTCGTGCAAAAATACAGATAGTAGTATATCTACCCAATAGTTAACGACAAACTCAAATAGACTTCGTCAGTGATAATATGAGATCTGCTGCAACAAAACCAGACAAGTGAATTTGTGACATCACTCGTGTCTTCTTTTAATTACGTCAATCAAAATTACCTTTTAATCTCAATTTGAGAGAATTCAATTTTTCTAATTGAATTTTTTAATCGAGTAATGTCACGTTATTATAACATTCTACTTCATAATCAGTTTTTGGGTAAACGTTCAATCTCTGCTTAATTGTCTAGTAATTCGTATTATTTACTTAGACTTTGATTGCTTCTGCTCATTTGCATCTAACGCTCATTCTGCCTCGTTTAGAAGGAGTTTATTTATCGTTCGTAAAAGGCGGACATACTAATACTTTCTCTTTAATGGGGTAAACGAGGAAGTTTCTGTCACAAGTGTATATCGTTCTTCGTTTTCGAGTTTTTCATCAGTCTTTTCAAGATTCTGATTTGGTAACTGCTTTTTTGAGTGAACATATGATCACATGCATTTTCCAATAATATGACAAACGCGAAAACGTTCTTTCGTCATAAATTGACAACATGTCACTTAACTTGGATGTTTCACTATGGATGATGAGATCATTAAGACATATGAAGCACAGCATGGTATGCAATGAATGCATGTTTATCGAATGGATAGTTCCAAAGTTATGCAAGAGCAGTCGGAGTGTTATTAGTTGGGCGGGACTCAAAAAACCAGGCTACGTTTTAAAGATGGTAAAAACATTATAGTTAATAGAGGTGCAACGTGGGCTTGTATTGCAAACACGCGTTGGGTGCATAGTGAATGGTATCATATCAATCCATTTGAGCAACTTTGATATGCTGTTTGCAATGTTGATAACTTATGCTTTTTTTTCTTTATTTCTTCCACTTATAATCAGCGGATCAGCAGTAAGTGTTGTAATGTTAGTTAGCCTTTATTTTTTTGCTCCTATTAGCGAAAGAATTTGCATTTGGCAATGACGATAGCACAGCTACCGAGGCCGCTTTTTATGAGCAAACACGTATAGCATGTACCGTTGGCAGCTCAGGTGCATGCATCGACTATAGGGAAATCAGAAATGGTATGGGAGGTTGCAGAACACGTCTATGTATGCCTTCGCAACAAAGAATCATCTGGTATCCCTCCTCGATTAACCGTTTCAGATAAACTCTACATGATTCGCGCATGTTACAAACATTAATCGCATACATCGTTTATTCAATCACATAATGAAGGTGATATACAGTAACATTAATAGTAATAGTAACAGTAAAAGTAACATTATTAACAATAACAAACTTATTAGCAATAATACGTCGATAACTCGTCTATGCAATCATGATACGTTTCTTACTGGATTTTTTTACCTAAAATTAAATAGATAAAATAAAATAAAATAAAATAAAATAAAATAAATCAAATCAAATTAAATTTCTTTTTTTAATTTTATAAGACCCTTTACATCAGAGACTACTATCCAATATGGTCAAAAACGAAACGAACACTATCAGCGGTATGTCATATGCTACTATCGTATCTCTCGGACCCGAATCGTGGAATGCAAGTACTATGATTTGTTTGTTACACAACATGCTTGTAATGTACGCGTTTTTATTATTAAAACCATCTACTACTACTACGTCTGGCATTAATCATCGCCTTCAACATATAGAAACATATCGCTCTCCTTGTCGGTTTGATCAATGCTAATGTCAAGCAAATTTTTCAGTCCAAATAAAATAACGATTTACATATTTCTATCTAGTATTAATACAATAGCAATATCCGATCAAAGTACCATCCCGAGAAATACGGTATTTGTTTTACGCTCAATTCGTCCGTTCCCGATCCTAACTTTCCGGTTCCAACTTACGCGGATCATTTCAATCCCCGAAGGGTCATCCATCGTTGTGTCTCATATGTCCATAGTATTTGGACATTAGAAGAAGCCTGTACAGTTCCACGATAAATCCTGAACTTTCGTTATAACAACCCCAGCAAGCTGCTTTTTCCCGTTGGATCATCTCGTTCTGTGTGAAGAACCTTGTGATAGAAAGTGAACATAGTACCGCCCTTTCCAAGGACATTGAGTATTCTGAAGCTTTCCCCAGTCATACAGACGCAAACCTATGTTTTAGAAATATATCGACCCTGTAATAGGCAATATCGTGAGATAGTGCACGTTGTTCAATGTGGACAAACGGAATATAATGAGGAGCCCAAACATATATAATGCAGGCAACAGCAGCATTCAAATTATTTTCTTTCCGTTGTTCCTCTATTAACCTATACAGTTTCTTGTCTCCGCTGAAATGTGTTTACATATAACCTAGCTCATTGACAACTATCCAATAAACGCGTATTCAGTGCCTGCTTACCTTGTTTGAACTCATATACTTCTGCACTATTTCCTTATTATTGGTACTATGATTTTAAAGTTGAGGTATTCAAGTTAGTCCATGTTTGTAATTATGAGAAGAAAGAAAAGAACATGTAGCTGTGCGAAATTAAACTGCTTTTTGTCATTTATAACCGTTAATTTGTCGGTGTCTTCTTATTATACTGCATATTCACTAAAGCGATTGCATGGGCTTCTAATAGTGCTGCAATTTTTTGGTTCCATGATGGATATAATGTAAATATCTATATTTATTTTGTATAGATATACATAGACAGGCCTATATGAAATTATAATGATAACTGCGAAGTAAAACGTATGTTTAACATGCAACGTGAATTCAACATGGCCACTAATACTAAATAAAAACTCAGTCACTCGATAGCAATTTTGCAGTTCGGCCCATATCTTGCAGTCAATTTCTTAATAGCTCGTACGTAATCGAGAAAGATGTCTTTTGGCAAACAGTATACGCGAAAATTTTAAACCAACCTAAGTCACAATAAACATATTTCAAAGTGGTTGACGCATTAAGAATTTTGTATACGTACAGTGTGTTACAAAATTATCCGGAATCAAAGACAATCATGTTGTACCACAACCAGCGATTCGAAAATTATGAAA